GATTGTCTAAGGTTTTTTTTTTCTACGCTACATTGACCGTAATGTATTTACAAAGATGCCAATTTTCTTCAGTGGAAAGTGTACAAAAGAAATCTATTTTAGTCGAGTGGAAAATCGACTATAGAATGGAATGTTTTGTGTAGTAAAAGACATTTCTTGTATTAAATGGAATTAGAAAAAAATTAATAGAAATTAATGCAGATCTTATTTATGAAAAGAGAAAGGTTAATGTTGTTATTTAGGTATTTCATTGGGAAAATTTGAAATTTTGGGAAAATGAGCACCTAGCTTTCCTTTTTACATGCGAAAAGTTTCAACATTTTTTCTTTATCAGTTTTCCAGAAATACTTTGAAATATAAGAGACTGTATTTTTAGTTAATTCAGTTTTTGTAAGTTGATTTTGAAAATTAATGTTAATGTTATTTTCCACAAGAAAAACTTGAAATTTTGGGAAAATGAGCTTCTCACATTCCTTTCTATGTGCAAAAAGTTTCAAAATTCTCTCTTTATTAGTTTTCCAGAAAAACTCTGAAATGTGAGAGAGTGTATTTTTAAATAATTCAGTTTTTGTGAGTTATAATTTTGAAGATTCTTCATGTTGTTATTTTCCACTGGAAAAGCTTGAAATTTTGGGAAAATAAGCTCATATTTTTCCTTTTTACATGCAGAAAGTTTCAATATTTTTCCCTTTAGTTTTCCAGGAAAACTTTGAAATGTGATGAGAGACTATTTCCAATTAATTTAGTTTTTGTAAGCTGATTTCGAAGAATTTTCCACTGGAATAAGTGACGGTGACTTCAAAGTCACCGTCCAGTGTATTTGATTATCCCGCCAAAAAAGAAGCATTGTTTTTTGTATATTGTATGCCCACCAGGCGCCATTTTTGACAAGTTGTTGGATTGCTTTAAACAAAAATTGATACCAAAATGGCGGACATAACAAATTTGAAAATTTTGCCCCAGGTACATACCTACAAGGTTGTTTGAAAGGGGTAGGTTATGACGTCATCTGGGGTGCCAGAACATAATGCAAAATGCAAATCTCCATGAGGCACCCTAGATCACGTCATCAAGTTACCCATTACCACACAACCTATTAACTTGGTTGCCTGTTAAATTTATGACGTCATCTGTGTGTCTATTCTTGAAACCGGGAAACAGCGTTTCCACGAGACCGATTGCTCTGTCTTTGTCAGCATTATGGAAATATAAATATGGGCGACTGAGACTGAACCTTCATTCTCATGAGACTGACATCACAAACATAACCTAACTTTTCGATGGGAGGACAAATGAAGCGGTTAAGAACTATTTACACACATTAATTAGGCGCTAGATGCCATTACCTACGTCACAAATCACATAACGTCAAATTTCTATAGAAACAAATAAGTGTAAAAATCGTTTGTTTGTCATGAAATGTTTGTTCCCCTAGCAAAAGTGACGTTGTGTGATTTGTGACGTAATAGTAGCGCCTAATGATGTAGGTAAACAGTCCTTCCAACGCTTTGTTTGTCCCCCCATCGAAAATGAAGTTATGTGTGTAACGTCAGCTTGTACCTAATTGCTCAAAAAAGTAATACCAAAATGACAAATTTGAAAATTTTGCTCCAGATATCAAATTAACTCTTTCATTGTGTTTCAGAAAGTTCCAAAGAAAATTATTTTCTGACAAATATTTTCAAATCCAGAAATAGATACTGGCATTGGTAATCGGGAATTCAACGACCAGTTAAAGAATAAATTCAATATGGCGACAATGGTCAAACATCCTGCTTCTTAAGCAATAATAGAAAATCCCTTCAAAACTCCACAAATTACACAAAGAACAGTTTTATGATAACAAAACATCTGAGGGCAAACGGAATCCTTAGCGCCAATTCCGTTTGACCATGGCCGCCATATAAATAGGGCGATTTGACGTTTTCTTAATTCAATATGGCGCCGTGGGAATAATACAATTGACAACCGTAGAGGCACGCTCCCATTCAATTCCCATTCAAATTACAATCAATTAAAATTGAATTTAAAGGCACCTTCACGGTCGTCAAGTCTGTTATGTCTTATTGTCCACAAGATAAATTTAGCAATTTATGATCCCATTGGTTGAGAAATAACTGGTTGACCAATAGGATTATAGATCGCGTTGTCATCTGTCAGATTGCATTAACTGACAGTTTATCAGAATATTAATAAACCAAGTTCAAGAAAGTGATACCAAAATGGCGGACATAACAAATTTGAATTCAAATTTGGAAATTTTGCCCCAGGCACAAGGTTGTTAGAAAGAAGTAGGTTGTCGCGGGGCTTTCTAGAAACCTTGGGCTTATCTGATAACTTTTATGACGTCATCTGGGATGCCTAAATATAGTGCAACTTTTCATATGGCACCCCAGATGACATCTGTTTCCCGATTACCAGACAACCTTTTAACTTTAAGAACCTTGCCCCATGCATTAAATTAATACTCTACTCATTGTGTTCCAGAAAATCCCAAATAATTATTTTTCCACTAATTTTTTGACAAATATTTTCAAATCCAAAATATAAATTCAATATGGCGACAAAGTTCAAACATCATCAAGCAATAGAAAATCCTCTTAAAATTCCACAAATTACACAGAGAACAGTTTGAAAGTAAATGAAATTCTTGGAGCCAATTCCTATTATTTAACCATGGCCGCTCTATGGATAGGGAGATTTGACGTTCTCTCAAATCAATATGGCGCCGTGGGATAATCACACCTGACAACCGCAAAGGCAAGGATGATACACACTACTACTACAGGATGGCCTATCCTCATAAGGCCTGTGTGTAACAAATCCCCCCGACGCCAAATTACCAGTTATGACGTAGGCATCATGTTATTTCTTGCCTTAACGTAGTAACACACCAATGTGGCGGCGATTACCAAAAACGAGGCCGATAAGCAATCCTGTACGTGTGTATCATCCTTGCCTAAAGGCACGTTTCCGTTTAATTTCCATTCAAATTGCAATCAATTAAAGTCAAGTTTATTATGTCCACGTCGCCATCTTGAATTATCAGCTGAAAAACATGATACCACAATAGCGGACAAAACAAATTTGAAAATTTTGCCCCAGGCACAAGGTCGTTTGAAAGAGGTAGAGGTTGTCTGATAACATTTATGACGTCATCTGGAAAGCCTAAGCAAAATCAAATTCTAAGGATGATACACCAGGGCCGACTTCAGAAATAACGCACAGGGTGCGAGTGCGATTTTATGGGTGTGCCTGAATTGACAATTGGCCATTGGGGCCATAGCACCGTCTAAAGTAGCATTTTTGAACAGCTAGTGTGTCGCACCGGTGTCACACTCACACTGGGTGTATCATTTCTGAACTCGCCTCAGTACTACTACAGGATGGTTTGTCCTCATAAAGCCTTATAGTACTCATAACTGCGAAATTCGCTCTTTTTTGACATTGCTTCGACAATATGACGTTTGATTCACGTATAAAACGTCAATTTGTCGAAGCAATGTCAAAAAGTGCGAATTTCGCAGTTATGAGTACTAGGCTTAAGGCCTGTGTGGAACAAATCCCCCCCACTGTCCCCAACGCACAAATTACCAGTTGTGACGTAGGCAGCAAACGGCAGCATGTTATTTCTCGCCTTGTCGTAGGGTGTTTAAACAGTTGACGACTTAGTTATGACGTCAGAAATAGTAACACACCAATATGGCGACCATTACCAAAAACAAAGGCCGATAAGCACTCCTTATTAAAGTGTGTATTCTCCTTGATGAAAATCTCCATAAGGCCCCCCCCCCAGATGACGTCATCTGTTTCTATAACTTATTTACTTATTAACTTCAGGAATCCTGCTCCAGGCATTAAATTAATACCTTCGCATTTCTTCCAAAAAGTCGCAAAGAACTTTATTTCGAGTAATTTCCTGGCAAATATTTTCAAATCCAAAAGTAGATACTGTCATTGGTGATAGGCTAATCCAACGACCTGTCAAAACATAAATTTAATATGGCGACAACGGTCAAACATTTCTGATGTGAATTGAGAATACGAAAATTGTCCCTCTCTCGAGCAATAGAAAATCCCCTTAAAGCTCCAGAAGTTGAATAAAGACAAAGAACAGTTTTATGGAAACAAACACTTCCTTGTGGGAATAACACAACTGACAACCGTAAAGGCACGTTTCCATTTAATTCCCATTTAAATTGCAATCAATTAGAATTAAATGTAAAGGCATTTTTACGGTCGCCTAGTTTGTTATGCCCACGTCGTCATCTTGAATGAAAATTTTACTCCAGGCATTAAATTAATACTTTTCTATTGTGTTCCAGAAAGTCCCAAAAAACTTTTTTCTAGTAATTACGTGGCAAATATTTTGAATTCCAAAAGTAGACAAATACCTAATCATTCGTAATAGGGCCTGTCAAAACATAAATTCAATATGGCGACAAGGGTCAAACAAGTGTGATGTGTGTTTATTTTTTGCTTATACACTACGAAAATTATCCTTCTCAAGCAACAAAAAATCTCCCTAAAACTCCACATATACAGTTTAATAATTGAAATACAATTGTTATAAATAAAATCCCCTTATAAGGTCAAAAAATGTCACAACGGCAACGCGGCAAATTTCCCATTTTATCAATGAAGAAGAAGGTCCTTCCTCGCCGGTCGGCGAGTTAGGTTAGGGACGAAACGCCGCATTCCGACCAATCAGAACCGAAACAGCGTTTTATGCCCATATATGGTAACGTTAGCGAATGGACCGGCGAACGGTGGGGGACAATTCCGGACCGATCCATTCCCGAGGGGTGTCCTGACGGTCTTTCAAACAAATTTAAATCAATTCTTCGATAATTTGTTTATTGTTAGTTAATTTTTTTGGTTAATTGTTGATTAATCAGTTTTTTTTAACTATTATAAACTGACAGGTTTCTGTAATTATTGGTTGTTTTCAGAATAATTTTTGAATTTTGGTACCGACCTGCCCTCCGATCGGAGCGCCACTAGCGGTGCAAACGGTGGCAACATCAACCGGCATCTTCCCATTTGTCAGTTTGCTGTTGTTGTCTTTTGACGTGTCTTTTTGAAAAAAAAATTTAAACGGTAAGAATTTCCATTATTTAATTAATATTTGCTTTGTTTTAACTCTATTAATTAATAGATTTTGTAAATTTCCATAATCTGAAATTACTCCACTTGGTCCAGGTGGTTCCCTCCCAAACAAAAACACCTATTTTTAGTTTTGGCTGGATTTCCTGAAGCCAGTGGTCGTAGTACTACGTTTTTTGCTTTGGCTTTTGGCCAAAAAAATGCTTTTAATTCAATAAATACAAATAAACCACACCAATAAGTACTTTAAGCCACTGATTTTTATTCTGGATTTAAAGAAAAATGTATTTTTTTTTTGGATAATTTTTCCTCTTACTATATACAGTGGTCCAGTGGGGGGTAAAAATTTAAGGAGAAAAATCGATGCAATGCAATTCCTTATATGGTAATCTCGCTCGCTATTGGTTCTGCGCCCGGGTTGTCGCCTCTAGGTGGGGGATAGCTCCACGTAAATATATTGGAGAGGTCTTTTGAATTTTACACATTTCTGTCTTGTGATATTTTAGAGTAAAGTCACACAGTCCAACAAGTTTTCTTTATACCAAAAATCTATACATAAAGTAAGTTTCAAATTGCCTCTACATAAGAAAATTGTGTTGCTCTTTCATTCATTTTTTTAATTCGGGTGTGGTTTTTTAAAGTGTTTTTGTGTGCCCCCTCATACCTATTTGGATTTACTTGTGAATTATTGTGATTTTTTAACGGTTTTAAAACTGGGCGTTTTCATGTGATACCGGTTTCTTATTTTTTTAACGGTGCTTCATTGTTGTGTCTCTTTCATTCATTTAAAATTTTATACCTGTCTTTTGGGTTTTTAGTGGTTGGTGGTGGTTCAAATACCGGTTTTTAACATCTTGAAAGAGCTACCAATTTTCATCGATTCCTTATATGGGGTTGTTCACCATAATTAATACAATATTTTGTAGTTTTTTCAAATAGCGAATTCTATTGGTTGAAACAGTGTAGAAAAAATTTATTTCTTATCTTTTTTTTTTTATACAAGTTGTTAGAAAAAGACAAGAATACTCTCAGTCCACAATAACCCTTCCAATAGATTTCGTTATAAGATTGAATTATACAGGGTGTTTAAATATTTAAAGGTGTATTTTAAGAAAAAAATTTCATATAAACGTATGTCCTAATCGTCGTATTCATTATTGATATTTTGTTATACCACTTCAGATATTTTAATGAAATTTGGCATCCTTGTACTATGTAGGAAACATTTTTTTCTGGTTAGGAGAATTAGTACACTGAATATATTTCAATCTTTTTCTCTCAGCCTGTGAAAGAAAAAGATATAAATACATTTTGTTTGCACTTATTCTCTCAAAATGTCATTAATGAATCAAATTTTCTTTCAAGTTTCCACCAGTGGTGTTTTTACCTGCCTATTTTGGTTGACATTGATGGTACACCACTGATTTCTTTTGAAATAAAAATTATTTCTAAAATCCCCAATAGTTTCTTATAGTTGGGGAGCTGGCGTCAAAAACATGCAAGAGTTTTCGCAAGGCGGATATTTTCAAAATAGGTTGTACTTTAGTGCTAGAATGCTAGTGTACAGTCAGCACTCACAGTTCCGGGACAGCTGGCTCTGGGACGCGGGCAAAGTTGTAATTTTAAGAAGCATCTAAACTGTTTTCTCAAAGCTCAAAATTTATAGAAATTTTGCACATTATCTGTTTGAAGGTCACAAATAACGTATGTAAATCGTCAGACGTCTAGTTCGTTGCAAAAAGGGGGTCAGACGTCCTCAAAGTTTTTATTTTATGGCATTTTCTTCAAATATATTTGTCAAATACCTGCAAAAATATATTTTGACAGGACACCGAAGAAAATGCCATAAAATAAAAACTTTGAGGACGTCTGACCCCCTTTTTGCAACGAACTAGACGTCTGACGATTTACATACGTTATCTGTGACCTTCAAACAGATAATGTGCAAAATTTCTATAAATTTTGAGCTTTGAGAAAACAGTTTAGATGCTTCTTAAAATTACAACTTTGCCCGCGTCCCAGAGCCAGCTGTCCCGGAACTGTGAGTGCTGACTGTACACTAGCATTCTAGCACTAAAGTACGACCTATTTTGAAAATATCCGCCTTGCGAAAACTCTTGCATGTTTTTGGCGCCACCTCCTGGACTATTAACAATTTTGCTTAAAAACGATTGGGAATTTCAAAAAATAATTTTTACTTTTAAAAAAAATCAGTGGCGTACCATCAATGTCTGCCAAAATATGCAGGTCAGATTCTGTATGAAACCCACTGGTGAAAACTTCAAAAAAATGTGGTACAGTTGGTCCAGGGTCAAGGTTCATAAAGTTACTAAGTTGTCTGGTAATGGGTAACTTGATGACGTCATCTGGAGTGCCTTATGGAAATTCTTTCACAAGCTAAGAGAAATATGTACTCTTGGTGTGTGGAAATGTCATTAGTGTGCACTGAATATATTTCAGTCTCTTTCTCTCAACCTGTGAAGGAAAAAGATAGAAATTCATTTTCTTTGCACTAATTCTGTCAACCCATTAATGTATCAGATTTTTTTTTTAATTTCCACCAGTGGTGTTTTTACAGAATTTGACCTGCTTATTTTGTAGACATTGATGGTACGCCACTGATTTCTCTTTAAATAAAAATTACTCTTGAAATCCCCAATCATTTCTAAGCAAAGCAAATCAAGTGATTAATGTTGCTTACAAACGATTGAGAATTTTGAAAATAATTTTTATTTTAAGAAAAATCAATGGCGTACCATCAATGTCTGCTAAAATATGCAGGTCATATTTTGTATGAATCCCACTGGTGAAAACTTCAAAAAAATGTGGTCAAGGTTCATAAAGTTATTAAGTTGTCTGGTAATGGGTAACTTTATGACATCATTTGGAGTGCCTTATGGAAATTTGCATTATGTTGAAGCACCTCAGATAGAATTAATGCAAAAAAAATTTATCTCTATCTCTTTCTTTCACAAGCTAAGAGAAATATGTACACTTGGTGCGCATTAAATCTTCCAATCAGAAACATCATCAGTGTGCACTGAGTGTATTTCAATCTCTTTCTCTCAGCCTGTGAAGGAAGAAGATAGAAATACATTTTCTTTGCACTAATTTTGTCAACCCATTAATGTATCAGATATTTTTTTAAATTTCCACCAGTGGTGTTCTTACAGAATTTTTCCTGCCTATTTTGGTTAACATTGATGCTACGCCACTGATTTCTTTTGAAATAAAAATTATTTCTAAAATCCCCAATAGTTTCTTAACAAAGCTAAATCAATTTTGCTTAAAAATGATTGGGAATTTCGAAAATAATTTTTACTTTAAAAAAAAATCAGTGGCGTACCATCAATGTCTGCCAAAATATGCAGGTCAGAAACCCACTGGTGAAAACTTCAAAAAAATGTGGTACAGTTGGTCAAGGTTCATAAAGTTACTAAGTTGTCTGGTAATGGGTAACTTGATGACGTCATCTGGAGTGCCTTATGGAAATTTGCATTATGTTGAGGCACCTCAGATAGAATTAATGCAATTTTTTTTTTATCTCTATCTCTTTCTTTCACAAGCTAAGAGAAATATGTACATTTGGTGCGTGGAAACGTCATTAGTGTGCACTGAATGTATTTCAGTCTCTTTCTCTCATCCTGTGAAGGAAAAAGATAGAAATACATTTTCTTTGCACTAATTTTCTCAACCCATTAATTTATCAGATTTTTTTTTTTCATATTTCTATCAGTGGTGTTTTTACAGAATTTGACCTGCCTATTTTGTAGACATTGATGGTGCGCCACTGATTTCTCTTTAAATAAAAATTACTCTTGAAATCCCCAATCGTTTCTAAGCAAAGCAAATCAAGTGATGAATGTTGCTTAGAAACGATTGGGAATTTTGAAAATAATTTTTATTTTAAGAAAAATCAGTGGGGTACCATCAGTGTTTGCCAAAATAGGCAAGTCAAATCCTGTATAAATCCCAGTGGTGGAAACTTCAAAATAATGTGGTATAATAGGGTCAAGGTTCATGAAGTTAATAGGTTCCCTGGTAATGGGTAACTTGATGACGTCATCTGATCATTGAGGCACCTCAGATGACGTCAGGCAACCTACCTCTATCAAACAACCTTGCTTGACCCTCCTCTACCTTTTTTATTTGACATTTTAGAAAGAAGTATCCCAAATAAAAGTTTTATGGTTGAAGTTAATTTCTTTAAAAACTTTCTTTCGCATATACAGGGTGTTTCAGAGTGATTCAACTTTCTTATTTTAAATAGAATACCCTGTATATTATTGAATATCTAGATTCTATGTAAAATTCTTAGCAAATTTCATGTGATATACCCTACCCCAACTGTTTTGGAAATATTGACAGTTGAAAATTGACAATTTTGACACTCTTTAAAAATGTAAAACATCGGTTTTACTTTAAAATTTAATTGTTAATTGTTTGTCAAAGTTGCAAAAAGGTCAACTGTCACGTGTCAATATTTCCAAACCAGTTGAACTTAGGTATAAGGCAAGGTTCCTAAAGTTAATAGGTTGTCTAGTAATAGGAAACATATGACGTCATTATAGGGTGTCAAATGGAATTTGCATCATGTTTGGACACTCCAAATGACATTATAAATAAAAGTTATCAACCGCCTGATAACTTTATCAAACAACCTCGGGTAAAGGGTATAATGTCACATAAAAACAGCTCAGAATTTTACATAGATATTCAATAATATACAGGGTACCATTTAAAATGAAAAGTTGGACCACAACCAGCTTTTCTGAAATACCCTGTATATGCAAAAATGAGTTTAAAAAAACATTAATTTCAACCATAAAACTTTTATTTGGGACACTTCTTTTCTAAAGTGCCAAATAAAAAATGGTACAGGAGGTTAACTAACATTTATAATCAAAAGCCTGTACCAGGTGATTGTTTATATTTTGCAACCACACAACCAAGATACCCAGAAATGTCAAATATAAAAGTTGTAAGCTATATCA